TCTTCTCCAGTCCTCCTCGTCAAGAAGGCCGATGGGTCTTGGAGATTCTGCGTCGACTACCGTGCTTTGAACGCCATCACCGTCAAAGACGCGTTTCCCATTCCCATCGTCGACGAGCTTCTAGATGAGCTCCATGGCGCAAAGTTCTTTACTAAGCTCGATTTGTGATCGGGCTATCATCAGGTCCGCATGGCGCCGGATGACATCGCCAAGACCGCGTTCGGCACCCACGACGGCCTTTACGAGTTTTTGGGGATGTTGTTCAGGCTATGCAATGCCCCGGCGACATTCCAGGCGCTTATGAACGACGTGTTGCGACCCTTCCTCCGTCAGTTTGTGCTTGTATTTTTTGACGACATTCTAATCTACAGCACATCCTGGGCGGATCATCTCCGGCATCTCCGTGTCGTCCTCGCCATGCTTCGCCAACATCACCTCTTCGTCAAGCGTTCAAAGTGCGCTTTCAGCGTCGGCTCCATCTCCTACCTCGGCCATGTCATCTCCGAGGCAGGCGTGGCCATGGACCCGGCCAAGGTCCAGGCGATCCACGACTAGCCCCAGCCCCGTTCGACCTGTGCCGTGCGTGGTTTCCTCGGCCTGGCAGGGTAATACCACAAATTTGTCCTCGACTACGGCCCCCATCGCTGCCCCTCTCACTGCCCTCCTGAAGAAAGAGGGGTTTAGCTGGAACGACGACGCCGCAGCGGCCTTCACCGCACTCAAGGAGGCGGTCACGTTGGCCCCTGTGCTGGCGCTTCCCGACTTCACCAAGCCATTCGTCGTCGAGTGTGATGCGTCTACGCATGGGTTCGGTGCGGTGTTGCTACAAGACAAGCACCCAATCGCCTACTTCAGCCGTCCCGTGGCGCCACGACATCGCTCCCTGGCCGCCTACGAGCGGGAGCTCATCGGCCTTGTTTGCGCCGTCTGGCATTGGCGCCCATACTTGTGGGGATGTCGCTTCCTGGTGCGCACCGATCACTTCAGCCTCAAGTACCTCCTCGACCAACAGCTTGCGGCCATTCCACAACACCACTGGGTCAGCAAGTTGCTCAGCTTCGACTTCACTATCGATTACAAGCCGGGAGCGACGAACACGGTGGCCGACGCACTCTCGCGTCGCGACACCGCTAAGGGCGTAATCTTGTCCATATCAGCACCTCGCTTCGACTTCATCAGCCGGCTACGTCAAGCGCAGGCCACCGATCCTGCCCTCGTCGCTATCCAGGAGGAGGTTCGTGCGGGCACCCGCGCCTCGCCGTGGGCCGTGCTCGATGGTATGGTTATGTTTGATGGTCGCCTGTACATTCCACTGGCATCACCATTGTTGCAGGAGATCTTGGCTGCCACTCACAATGATGGCCATGAAGGCGTCCAGCGCACCATGCACCGACTCCGCCGCGACTTCCACTTCCCCAACCTAAGGCGCCTGGTGTAGGACTTTGTTTGTGCTTGTGCCACCTATCAGCGCTACATGTGCGAGCACCTGTAGCCGGCTGGACTCCTTCTGCCGCTCCCAGTGCCGACAGCGGTCTGGACGAACATCGGCCTCGACTTCATCGAAGCACTACCGCGCGTCAAGGGCAAGTTGGTTATCCTCTCGGTGGTCGACCGCTTCAGCAAGTACTGCCACTTCATCCCCTTGGCGCACCCGTACACCGCCGTGTCCGTCGCGCAAGCTTTCTTCGCCGACATTGTTCGCCTACATGGTGTGCCGCAGTCGATGGTGTCTGATCGTGACCTGATCTTCACTTCGACGTTCTGGCATGGGCTCATGCGCCTCATGGGGGCCAAGCTGCACATGACGTCGGCGTTCCACCCCCAGTCCGATGGCCAAACGGAGGTGGCCAACCGCGTCATCGTGATGTACCTGCGCTGCTTCACCGGCGACCGCCCACGTCAGTGGCTCCGCTGGCTTCCTTGGGCTGAGTATGTCTACAATACGGCGTACCAGTCTTCGCTCTGGGAGACGCCATTTCGCGTGGTTTACGGCCACGACCCGCCTACCATTCGCTCTTATGAGCCGGGTGACACGCGCGTGGCTGCAGTTGCTTAGACCATGGAAAACCGCGACGCCTTCCTCGCTGATGTGCGCTACCGGCTCGAGCAGGTGCAGCAAGTCCAGAAGCGGCACTACGATAGGTTACACCGCCCTGTCTCCTATCAGGTAGGCGATTGGGTCCTGCTCTGCATCCGCCAACGGCCGGCGGCGTCCATCCCCCAGGTGACCACCGGGAAGCTCAAGGCGTGCTTCTTCGGGCCCTACCGCATCACCGAGCTGATCAACAACGTCGCGGTGCGCTTGGCACTTCCCCCACGCGCTAAGCTGCACGACGTTTTCCACGTCGGGCTACTCAAGTTCATTGGGCCACCTCCAGAGGCGCCTCCTCTGCTACCGGTCATCCACCACGGCGCCATCATTCCGGAACCTGATCAAGTCGTGCGGGCTTGCTTGGCGCACGACATTCGCTAGGTGCTCGTCCACTGAAAGGGCCAGTCTGCGGCTTCGTCTACCTAGGAGGATCTTGACGTCTTCGCGACAAATACCTGGCATTTCAGCTTGAGGATGAGCTGATCCTTGAGGGGGGAGAGATGTCATGTGGGGCCGCACATACTCAAGGACTCGCCGTGCCCGTGACGTGAGGAGAGCCGCAGAGCGCGCGCGAGACCAGGCGGCAGGCACAAGTGAGGCAAACTCCGAACCGGAAAGTGGCTAGAAGGCAAGAAGATCAGATCATATCCCTTAATTATAGGAGTCTATTGTTAGCTTTGTTATTGCCGCATGGCTATATTACTCGTGTAAACCTGAACCGTGGAAGTTAAGCAAGTTATTATCCATCTAATCTCTCTCTCTTCTCCCTCCAACTAAGCCTAGCTGGCCGAGGGGCAAAACCTCAGCCCTAGACGACGACGGCAAGAGACTACGAACTCCGTAGTCGAGGGCCAGCTACCCTAGGACACGACGCCCTTGACATGGCTAGTAGCTAAGGAAGGTCCAAAATTTCTAGATGATTTAGCATAGAGGTGTTCTGAGAAACCTGCCATGGTGTTCTCCGTAGCAACCGCAATGACATCAGGCCTCTTCCCACTATACTTCCGTACCATTTTCCTCAAGATTTCAGCTACCATCCTCTCCATGTGACTAAGTGAACAATTCATAGGACAGCTTGACAATGCAGCATGAGCTGCTTTGTAGAGTGCGTCCAACAATCTTCCATTATCAAGCCATAGACATCTTGTAGTAATCTTAAATTTTCCTTTCAAACCTGACTGTGCTAAACCATGTTCCTTCTGAGGTCGGAAGATCTCCATGCTGAAAGGAATAACATGTAAAATGTTTAGGTGCACGGAACAACACTATATATGGTTTTACCATTTTGACTATTACAAAGCTCGACATAAATCACTCTCATTTCACACGTGAGGAGAAATTTTTGCTAAAGATAAACCTACAAAATACTCCAAAACTGTACAGGAAACTGCCTGACAAAAATAATGCCATCAGATGCAATTCTTAGTCTCTCATCAATGCAGAGATCAGTGGATGTACGAAAAGCCTTATCACCATCACTATACATCAACTGTAATATCATATGTCATGTTAGACATCATAGCTGTTAAAGACAGAAAAAACGATGGTATAAAATAAATGGTTCACCTGAAGATCCTCCTTCCCTAATGAAACAAACCCATTGGACAAAACTCTTTTGTTTCTTAGATGTGACACACCAAGCATCTCATCATTTTTTATTACCTGCAATTATAGTAGCAATCTAAGAACCCTACCAATGCTAACAAATATGAGCTTTGCTGTATTATGGTATGCAGTGTAATATAGGAAGTACATTAGCCCTTTGCAAGCACAGAATGACCTTTTAGTTTAGTAATTCTGAAAAAGCTTACCATGTTAACTGCTGGTAGTACTTTGAGATAATGCAAGCAAAAGACATATCAGAGCACAACTTCCCAACTCTTCTACATACAAAAAACAGTCAACTGCAATTGCTTGAGACGATGAGGATGGCCACGAGAACAGATCCGGCACCCTGATCCAGCAACAATGACACGTCATTCTCCAACTTATCTAGTAGCAGTTGAATAGCTTATTGGAACTACTTATCTAGTAGCGGTTTGTTTGCAGTGAAAAGCTTATCACAACTAAAGTCTAGCAGGACTGCACAAGTGCAAGAACTTGCACCAAAAAACTATAGAGTATAAATTGACTGCACATAGACTTCCAACAAAAAACTACAATAGTTCAGATTATTTTCTATCATTCTCCGGTTCAATGTAGAAGCTTTTTTATATTGGATTGGATTATAACTCAACATTAGCATAAATTGAAAACCATGTAAGGATAGCTCAAACAATATATAGGAAGAGAAAAGTCTCAGCAATGAAGGACAAAGTAACAAAACTCATGTCTGACTCTTGACTCTGGCTGCATAGAGTGACCGAACTGAACTTGACAGAAACAGATAGCAGCCAACTAAAGTTGGTGATCATTACGTTTTCAACAAGAATTTTTTAACAAAAGAACACACAAACTAGCTACTGATTCCAGCCAAAGCTGCACATAGCTGCACGTGTGATGCAGCCTCAGAATTGCTACCATACATACATACATTCAGAACTAACAATCTATAACTAGCTGTACAAGAAGCAAGTATAATAGTACATATTTGTTCAAGTAAACTTTTGGGCGTGTTTTTTCCCACACCACAAATAGAGATGAGCATCTATAGATTAATCCCAAAAGTCAGGGTGTAGGAAATATATTACAAGTGTGATATACTCTTCAGAAAATGATTGCAATTTTTGTAATGATGAGAAGAGAGATAAACAAGGATTGCAGGTATTAACACATTGAAAACTACCTAGGTGCCAGTGTCCACACAGCTCAATGATTGCAATTTTTGTAATGATGAGAAGAGAGATAAACAAGGATTGCAGGTATTGACACATTGAAAACACTACCTGGCTTCCAGTGTCCACACAGCTCAAGTGTGTATTTGTGGTCGTATTCCAAAATCGTATGCATCTATCTGTGGTTCCTCCATCAGATGCAAGCAGGCCATGGAGATGAGGTGACCAGGCAATAGCTTTGACAGCTGCTGTGTGCTCAGTACTGGTTGTACTGAATGTGGATTCCAAACAAAAAGCTAGACAAAGGGGAAATATTAGTATGGGAAAACAGCAATGTGGAATCCTAAGAACAATGCATTCCAAACTAACAGGAACATATGGATAGACATCTTACTCTGTTATCATTGCCACCTGATGCAAGCTGACGATTGTCGTAAGACCACATGAGTCCACAAACCTGGAAGATATGTGAGATTAGGAATCCATGCGTTACCGAAATAGAAAACTGAAGCTTCACTAGGATAATGAATATACTTGCCAGATCATCAGAAATTTGATGCACTAATACATATAAAAAAGTCATATTACAAGGAGACATGAATAGATTACCTCAGATTTATGCCCGGTAAGCTTGCTAACATAATCTTCTTGAGCATGGATATCATGGTGGAGGATGCTCTTGTCACGGCTTCTAGAAGAAAGAAATGAAGAACTCCATGCAAGAGCACCTACACGCATGCGATGGCTTTCCATTGTTCTTATTCTTTTACAACGAGTTGCATCCTAGATCTACATAAGATAAAATGTAACATGATAATCAGATTTGCAGATACTCATAAAGTAACAATTTTACATACCAATGCAGATGGCAAATAGAATGATCATTTGACTGTTTCTACGAATTTATAAATTGATTCCCTACAGGAATAAGGGTGGTTCTAAATCAAGAGCAAAACCGGATAAAATTGATTCGAGTTTGAGGTTTGAGCATATAGAAGAATGGCATTTACAATTGTTAAGGTTTTCCATAAAGTATAAAACTATTAAGGTTTTACACAGAAGGTTTTTGTGTCAATCGAGTACAATCAATAGGGTAGACTACCATAATAAACCAATCAATATACTAAGTGCTAAAAGGCACATTGTCTACCCCTGAGCTGGTTTTGCAAAACTGTCAAATTTATTCCATGTGTTGTATACAGCTGTAATTCTTGATGATACATTGCACTAAAAGGGATTTAGATATCATCCAACACTTGACGGCATATCAAATAACAATATTCAAGGTAAGAACGGGACATAACCTGAACTTTTCCTTGATTTGTGCCTACAGCTAGGTGAATGCCATGCTGCGCCCACCCCACAGAACAAACATTGTCATCCACCCCCAAATCACAAAGCTTGGTGACCTATACAATGATAAATAAATCTGTTAACAATCCATCTTCAATTCTCAGTCATAATATACCTTAACGATGACCACGGTTGCTTACCTTGCTGCTGCATGCATTCCACAAGTAAACGCAATTGCCCAACCCAACAACGAGGACATTATGTGAAGACCAATCGATGAGGTTGAGGTTGAAGTCGTCCTGCAAAGCGGGCGCATCCAGCACCTACAAGCAACAGCAAGAAAATTTAATAGTGCAAAGACACAAAATTGTTGGCACGAAGTCTACAAATTTCGCATTATGTTCGTGAAAAAACGTCTCTTTCAGCATTTCGGAATGCAATTGGCTAGATGTCAAATCTTTCATGCCCCCAAGAAGCAGCGAGGCTAGCTCAAGAAACAGAACCCAAGAAACCTAAATCAAGAAACAGATAAGGCCCAATCAAGAAAGCACCAAATCCAATTCCCCTTCTCACCTTGTAGGGTGACCTTGGGACCTTCCTTGGTCCTGCGCCCCTCATGGTGAAAATGTCAGGGAACAGCGCGTCCTCCTCTTCCTCTCCCAAAAAAAGAGCCCTCTTGGCGCTCCGGCGCACCTCCGTCTTAAATCTAAAGATGTTCCCAGTGGCGGGGGTGCCCACAGGCCAGGGACCCGGGGAGGAGGACGACGAGCACGCGCTGGCCGAGGACGCAACCCGGTCGTGCGTGTCGGGACCGAAGAGCGCGGCGCGGAGGAGCGGGCGCAGATCCGGACGAGGCCCCGGGGCCGCCTTTGTGGGAGGATGCGGCGAAGGGCGAGGGGGCGAGGTCGAAGAGCGCGAGGTTTGATCAGGTGTGGCTGGGGATGAAGCGGTCGCTGTAGACGGTGCGGGAGGCCAGCGTCGGGGTGGAGTGGCAGGAGGACGGCACCGAGGAGAGGCGTGAGTTGGGCGTGGACGCCGGCGTCGGCGGCTTCGAGGACGGCCCTGCCGCCGAGTTCTCCATCGGCGACGGCGGCGTTGGCGTGAGGTGGTGATCCATGGGCAGGGGTCGTGGAGAATGGGAATTGGGGATCGGGGTCGAGGGGATACGGTGCGAGTGCGACGGGGTCAAGGGCACCCGAGCTCAGTGTGGGCCCATTTTCTTTAGCGACAGACAGATTAACGGTACATTTGGCTTTAGCGACAGACGGTTCAACGTTAAATATAAATACCTATAGCGACAGACACTAAATCGCTAAATAAGAATTTAGCGTTAGATGGTCTCTGAGTTATCTTTAGCGTCAGATCATCTATCGCCAAATATAAGTTTTAGCGTTAGATGTCTGACGGTGAAGCGGTGTTGTGTTGTAGTGTCATAATTTTTCGTCGGTTAAGTCTTATTGAGTACCTTTGTCCTCAGGGTTTGTTAACCCTTGGTGCATGAGGAGAGCCAGCAGTAGAGAAGTTTGTTGTGCACCCTTGGGTAGGGTGAACCTCCCTTGTGTGATTTTTAAAGTGGTACCTCTCATGCTACCCTACTGCCGAGTTGGCTAAAAACTTATGATTTGTAATAACTTAATAAACGGTTTGTAAACTTATGGTTTGTATGTCTTCCACTGTTTATTCTGATGTACTATATTTGTTTAAACTATTGTAATACTGCAATATCATCTATGATGTATCCTGCTCGGAAAGAAAAGTGGATGATTTGGGTTTCCCAATGACACCCGACAGACTACCAGGATTGTGTGGCTTATGTGTGCAACGGTCAAAAGTCTATGAGACAATGATGGGCACATATGGGCCAAATAATTTGGGTAGTTCTGCCACACTCACACTACGGCGGCATCGATTATGATGTCGTGGGACAAGGGTACGCGTTGAAGAGGTCCGACGATGAAATCCTTGCCATCGACAATTCTGCCACTCATAGTGCGAAAGTCCTCGCGAGCAAGGTGTTGACTGCTAACATCCATGTTCAGTGTGGATGTCTCGTGTAATTTGAGTTGTGTAATTGCGATGGACATGTTATATTTACGCATGTGTGGTGTTTAATCGGTGTATTCGTTTGTCTGTCTTGTTGTTTTCTCTTTCTTCTTGTTCGAGTGGAAAAGTGCTCCATTCCCCTTAGTCCTATACGCGTAGGTGTGTGGTTTAGCCTGGGGACTAGCCCATGGGGCCAGACAATGCACAACCCAATGGCGTGGTAAGACATCGGGGGCAGCTTATAGATCTGTTCTGATGCGAGAAGAAGATGAGCAGATGGCAAGGGATCTGTTCCTCACATCCCCTTTGCCTTGAATGAAGCAGCGCCCCATTCCTCTTCTAACTCATGCATAGGTTCATGGCCTTGCCTTGGAGCTGGTCCATGAGGCTTGGTCAGGGTGACCTCTTGGTGCGAGCGAGAGGTCGAGAAATAGGCCACTAATTCATCACCGCGCGGGGTGACTATTTGAAATGGGTCACTTGGATGATGACAAACAGTGCTACGCCTTAAAGTCTATGTACATGTGCCTATATGTGTAGCCCCGCGAGTGAGTCGTGTCCGGCTGCTGGCACAAGGTGGGACAGGTCACTTGGTAGGTAAATGACACTAAAACAGATTGTACGTGACTCATGTTCTTAGGCTGACTCTACAAGTTGGCTCTAAGTTTTGAAACTACTGGTGAGCCTACACATGTTTGTGAACGTGCTTAGGTAGAGTGGTTAGGGATAGAGTTGAGTAACTGATCGGCGTGCCAGGAGCTATCGTGGATCCTGTTGTCGTTGCTCAGGGCATGGTGGGCCCCGAGCGCATGTCCATGGCGGGGTCGCTGCGATTCCCATGCTACAAGCTAGCGAGGGCACTTCTCTATCACCCAGAGCGATCGTAGCTGGCACAGGTCATCCTTCTGGGTTCCTTCAAGTTGACCCTTGCCACCTCGATGTCCTCGGCGGGCTTGAGAGCCACCGGGGATGGCTTCTTCGCGTCTGGCCTAGGGACGTCCTTGGCCATGAGGGGTCAAGCGTCCTGATGCCCGAGCCCTTGCGGCGCGATGACATCGCGGTCGTTGCTTCTCTAGTTCTGGCTGTGGTTGCTCGTGGTGGAGAGCTAGTGGGTCCTATCATTATGGACACTAACTCTGAACGTGATGGAGCATGACCTACTTGGCATGGCATGGCACATGCATAGGAGGCCTGTGTCCTCGGATGCATGCGCCTCCATGGGAGAGTTGATAGTTTGTGATGACATGGCGGACAGCCAGTCCTACGTGAGAAGTTTGGCCCTGGTTCTAGGCTTAACCTCACGAGGCGAGGTGCTGGGTGGTCATTTGTTCGTTTGCGACAACACCGCATGTCGGTGGATGGTTTCGTTGCTCATGTGCACCCTGATCTATCGTCCCACCGGCGGCGAGGACGCCGTTTAGGGTGTGATTTTACTGTAGGGTCCAGGTTCCTAGTGCGGGGGGCCTAGCTAGGGTAGGAGCAAACAATGGGCATTAACCCATTGATGCGGGCGAACTCATGGTATCCCAAGAGGATGTGGCTACCGAGGGCCATTCCATGGGTGGGTTCGCCATGAGCCATGGACCTTAGGTTTCCTAGGCAGAACACCTGGTCATGGCCAGAGATGAGAGGGGGTGCTGGCCCCCTATGTAGGTAAGCTCTAGGATGCAGCCTCTAGAGTCCCTTCCAAGAGTGTGTCCGCCATAGGCCTCAAAATCTAGGATTTCATAGTAGAAGACCTGGTCGAGCCATAGGCGAACGTGGGCGCTGGCCCATCGAGGTTGGTGAACTCAGGGTTCCCATGGCGGATGCGGCCACTAGGGTCCGTTCTATGGGTGAATCCATCAGCAGTGCAAGGAGCCATCGCTTCCTTCTCAATAAAGAGAGTGTGTGACTGTCCCCTACCTAGCACGCCAACTGTCAATGTTTTCTCACGCGATGAGTGAATGTATATGAATGTCATGCTGCTTTAGAAAGACAATGGTAGCATCCAAAGACACAAGGAATTATACTGGTTCAGGCCGGAGCCCTACGTCTAGTCTTAGAGATGGATCGAGTGTGTGTTCCTCGGTTGAGTGATCTGAAGTTCTTACAATCAGGTATGCAAGAAGAGTGCAAGAGGTAGGAGAGTGGAGAGGGACTGCTCGAATGAGTCTGGAGCTAGGTCACGTACAAAGAGTTAGGTTCTCCCGACCAAGCGGTCGTGAGCCTGAGGGAGGGAAAACTACCTATCTTGGCTTGTAAGGAAGGTCATCTTGTCTTGGTTACAGCACATGCCCGAACATGGTTGTCGTCATGGTCTTGTGCTCACATCGTAGCACAGGGTGCGTGGTGCTATAGTGTTAGTCATGACAACACTGTTGGCATGGTGGTGTTTTGCCAGCTATCCTATGCAACGTGGTCTCACAGTGGCCTTTGTCATTATCTCCTGGTCTCCCAGGGGCGTCATACAGGAGTAGGTAGCCGCTCTAGGGTAGTCGACTGTCATGCTGGTCATGGAGCCGGTGGCCACAATCCCGGGTTCCGGGGTCGTGGCCTTTGTTGGCTTGGCTAGCCTTGGAAGTCAAGACCGTAGTCGTGAGCCCTATCCCATGGTGGGTGGGGCCATACACTCATCCCATTGGGCCATATTTGGATGGTGGTTTACTGTACCTGTCGTCACCGCCTGTCAGTGCTATCTTGTCTGCACAGCATGGCACAGAGATGGTGTTTGTCTGGACCAAGGGGATAGCTATCCCCTCGGTCCTAGCGGAGTGAGTGATGCGTGCCTGCCCTGGTGAGAGCAGGCATACTTGGTGGAGCTCGGCCCTTCTTCATCCCTCCTAGGTGTCAGGATGGAGGAGAGGTCGTGCGGAGCTAGGCAGCGTATGGTCATGGGAGAGGGGAGAAGTCGTGGTCAACTCCCTGTCTCGGCACTTGGCCTAGGCCTTCATAGCTTAGTCGGGCCTCAGTCGCTTGGGCTTGTACCTGCTTGTTTGTCGTGGGCCGCCCAAGCGGCTAACTAATCGGTGTCTTGAGATACCCGAGGTATCATAACCCTGACACCTATACATCTGCTCTCTTTTATCAAGTTTCCAAAATGAGCTATTAAGCTATTGAACTCTCATATAGCTAATTGTCTGTGGAATGACTTTGATAACAATCACAAATACCACCTTCCTAACTGGGAGTTAGTGTCTACTCCCTCTGTCCCTAAAAAAGAGTCATTCTCGCTTCCCAAAAAGCCAACAACTTTTAACTGACCAAATATTTAACAAAATATTAATATTTGTGGTACATAATTAGTATCATTAGGTAGATTGTTGAATGTACTTTCATAATAAACTTATTTGGAGATATAAATGTTGCATGCATTTTTTACAAACCTAGTCAAAGTAGAGAAAGTTTGACCAACATGATTCTCATAGTAACTCTATTTTAGGGTCGGAGGGAGTATATGTGTAAGGAGTTTGGTGATCTTGGTATCCCTAGTCTAAGGGATTTGAACATTAGTCTGTTAGCTTCCTAGTTAAAAAGATATAGTCCTGATAAAGAAAAGCTTTGAAAAGAGTTGTTAGACTTTTAAGTATGACACT